AAAAAAAAAACTTCCTTTTTGATTAGCTCTTTGGAATACCATTCTACCTGTCAACTGGAAGCTCCCAATTCATGAATCTTTTAATTAAGCCAAGAGCATCAGTTGGATTTTCGTTATTTAACAATCCCCCTGTTGGTGAACATTTGGTTTGTTTCCATTTTTTAGTTTTACTTACAAGTAAAACTGTATGCACATTCACGTACAATGGACAGACATACACTTTCATTCTCTTGGATGAATACCTATGAATAGAAAAACTGGATCATTCAAGAAACTTATGTTTAACTTTTTAAGATATTGCCAATTTTTCCCCAATGGAATGGTGCCATTTTACATTCCTACCAGCTGTGTATCAATTTTCCAGGTCTACTGCATCCTCATAAACGCTTGGTATAGACTATCTTTTTCAAGTTGCCCATTCTAACAGTTGTGGTTTTAACTTGAACTTCCCTAATAACAGTGATGCTGGGCACTTTTTAATGTGTTTGTCAGCTGTATATCTTTTTGGTGAAGAGTTTGTTCAAATGTTTTGCCCTTTTTCTTATATGTCTTTAACTGATTACTGATAGGATAGATTTAGCAAATCTTGACCAAGTTCTAACAATAGAATATGTTGGCTGAATCTCAAATTTAAGTAAAATTTCTTTTTTTGAAAAAAGATTTATTTATTTATGCAAGAACTGGGGGGTACAATAGGAGGCAGGGGGAAGTGTGGTGAGAGGATTCACCAGAGGCAAAGTGGAGGCAGACAGGCAGGTGTACTGAAATAAGTAAAATTTCATATTACAAAATAACTAATAAGATATGGCCCAACAATCTTAAGTATTTTTATTAAAAAGGTCTTTAAAATGCAAAGCACTCTAAATTGAACTAATTGTTCTTAAAGAACAATACCTTTCCAAATTCCTGTTATTTAAAAGCAGTTGGTAGGGAGTTACAGGAAAATACTCTTTCATAGACGCAAATGTGGGCTCATATTGTGGAGGACCTTGCTCTCTGGACAAATATTTTCAAGAATATATTCTGGGCACACCCTGGTGGCCTTGGGGTTAAGTCTCAGAGCTATCACCACTAGCTTGAGTTGGATCCCCAGCCAGGGAGCTGACCCACATAGCACAGCAGACCTCGCCTCTTTCACCCGCTGCTCCCCTCAGCAGTGTACTTCATCGATCTGCCTGTTCTGATCCCCACTCTGTCTCTGGTGAGTCCTCTCACCACTCCTGTACTCTGGCCTGTACCCTAGTTCTGTATGCATAAACAAATAAATCTTTAAAAAGAAGAAGAAGAAGAACCCAGTGATTGTCTAATTGTTTAATGGCCCTTGGTCTCCAAATCCCACCTTTGGTCTGTGCTTCTGGGTACTTTCTATAGCAATCAATGGTGCCTAAGGATTTACATTTCTATAGCTGGCTTAACCACAATCTACCATTTCTATCCCCACCTGAAATTTCCGGTCTTGTGATGCCTCCAGCAAATTGTTTACTCTTATCCTCCATCATTGTGGGTAGCAAGTCTTTTTATTTGTCACCCAAATAGGGACACTTATAAGTAAAATAGGGTACTATGATCACTTTTTCAAAAATCTCAGGCAGTCCTGATAAAATTCCTTCAGAATGTTTCTAAACACTCCCCCATGTGTCCTAGGTAAATTCCCTGGTCACCTCACAGTCATCACTCACAACAAAGCTGCAACAGTAAATGTTACCTATTCCCATTTTACAATCAGAAAAAAAATTCAGTTGTTACAGGACAGAAAGGGGGCACTCCAGGACCCCCAAACCTGCTTGCCTTAAATAGGTTCTGCCATCTGCCACATCAAGAAAAAACATGTAAGAACTTTAATGGAAAGAACTTTAACACAATTAGTGTGCAATACAGACAAGATAAAGAATATAGTTTCTAAATCAAACACCCAAAGTTACCCATCCCCTCGTGGGTAAGAGTCTACCCAAAAGGGATTGGCCCAGAGCAAGGCCAAAAAGTTGGCACAAATCTAAAGCACCTTCCAGTCGGGACCCATAGAAAAGGGTCAAGAATGGCCAGACAAGCCTGGGAGGAAAAGAGCAAAATCTAAATCAAGATAAGTTCTGCCAAAGCC